TTATAAAAACGTGTTCGATATACAAGGAAAGCACTAAGTAGATCCATTGTCGACGACCGCCGTCGTCATTAAAGGGAAGAAGTTTCGAACTTTCTGGTCTGTTATTTTTCTTTCCGCAGATCACGAAACCGCAAAACCAGGGCGGATCATAATTGCTTCTTCCATTAAATTTAGCACGGGCTGCGGTTCTAAGACTTTTTCTCTTGTTTTCTTTTGACAGTATTACTAAGTTTTAGTTTTTGTTTTGGTGCTCTTCACATTTCATATCTTTGCCTCGAGTCGGATATGAAGTGATATTCTTAAGTTTACAATTGTAATCAAATCCGGTCGTATTGTGAAAAACTTTGTGTTATCATAAAAAATGTCCCAGGTTGATGAATTTCCAGCTTAATAGTTTACCAAAGATAAGTACCATTGTTTTTCTTGTGAATTCAGCAATCTTGAAAATTACACAGGTCTGCGAAATTTTTTTTGAAAAGTTTTTTCTTAAATTGTTAATATTTGTCGTAATTGTCTTAAAAGTAATAGAAAACGATATTCATATGGTTTATACCACGTCACATTAACTCATAAATGCTCAGAGAACACATTTCCATTTGAACCCTTGCCACGTATTGAGTGCGACGAAAAAATATTCGATAACCAGTGTTTCTATGTTTTTAACGATGCTCTTTTCGATGGTATTGGTTAAAAATACCTCCGACAATATTAAAGCATGGAAAAATCGAAAATAAACAAAAAAAACGTGATTTTTGAATTGACTTTTTTCTTAAAAAGTATTTTTTTGTGTCCTTACAATTTTTTTAAATGCTTAAAACCTATATAGATCATGACCTCGATATCTAAACATGAAATAATCACCGTCGGTCAAGTGGAAATGCCTTTAGAAACTGTTTGATCAAACCAAGTTTAATGTAAAGTGGTGGAAGCAATACTTTCTTCTTTCAAACTCGTATTGATGATATTTTTCACTCCGACTTCCAATTGCATTCTAATTTTGACATAGAAATACCGAATAACACTGATTTTGATTTACCATAAGCCCACTGTCTTAACACTTCAACACATAACCGGCATATTTTATGGTAACCCAGTGTTTATCTTGATGACACAACTCCATTCTGAAGAAAGCTTAATAAGCATTTTTTACAAAGTCTGTTATATTCAATCTTTACTTAACTATTCTATATTGTCCGCAAATGTAAAAAAATACATTTTAATTGTTTTTACAGAAGCCATAGTGAAAGATAAATAAAACACAATCTTTTATTGCACGTTAATATTATATCTCTCTCAATAATGGCGCTCTACAAACTATTTTTTTTTTCAGGCGGTGTAAACGACTATAGTTACTTTTAGACTATCTAAAATAAAGTAAAAGACAATATAATGCTCAGTCAGAGTAAAAAAATATATTTTAATTGTTTTTACAGAAGCCATAGTGAAAGATAAATAAAACACAATCATTTATTGCACGTTAATATTATATCTCTCTCAATAATGGTGCGCTACAAACAATTTTTTTGTTCAGGCGGTGTAAACGACTATAGTTACTTTCAGACTATCTAAAATAAAGTAAAAGACAATATACTGCTCAGTGAGAGAGTATTAAATAGAAATATAAGGTATAAAATGAATTTTGTGAAAAAACAAATAAATTTGCCGATTCAAAGAACTATATATATATATATACATATATTAATCTACATACAAAAAAAATGTGACGTGGTACGTTAAAACAAAGTTTATATTTGTAAATTATAGACCAAGATTTGCATGCTTAAGATAAATTTATACAAAAAACTTTTTTATCGCAGACCTGTGTTGTTTTCCGTTTACATATTGTCAAAATTGTCGGGCATCTGTTAATCAATATTTTTTTTCTCATGATGTCTTATTGGCTTACGGATTTTATTTGGAGGGTATGATTAGCTGCAATGATAGGAAAACAAACTCAAAAGTTTGTCGATAATAAATCGTTTGGCCTATCAATAACAATAGTTCTGACTATAATTAAATTCAAAAAGTACTACAATAAATTTATTACACACACGTATGTATGCAATGAAATCAATACATCGATTAGGCGTCGTCCCGTTTGTGCTAGAGGCCGAAAAGATCATAAATCATACGCCGAACGACATATATATGACCGCATAACAAAAGAATTTCGAGAGCCATGCAGAGAAATGAAGACAATCTGGATAATTAAGTGATAAATAAAAATAAAGCGATGAGCGTTAGTTCGTATATGAACAGTCGATATAATATAAACAAGCAGGTCGAAAGTAAAAACAAATATCAAAAATTATTCCTTAATATTTTTAAAATTAAAGATTATTTAGGAAGCTTTTTAAAAAGCAATAAAAATGCTAGGAACAAAGGTTCAAAATCAATTTAATTCTGACAAATGTAATAAAGTCTGCGTACGAAAAAAAGAGGCAGATGTTTAAAAGGGAAGGTGCACGAACACATGCAGAACATTTGTTATAAAATATATTTACAGTTCTTCAACCTTCACCCCTAATTAGTCTTAATTTTAATATATAAATGATTCTGTTTTAGTCAAAGTGTGGCATTCCAGTAGTAGCTACTGTGTGGAGATATGATTAGTGTAGTCATCATCATTATCATCATAAGGTCATCAGTCCTTAGACTGGTTGGACACGCACCTCTACTCTTTCCTATCCTGAGCTAATTTTCGCATTCCTCTAAAACTAGAACAACCCATATCCTTAACTATTTGCGAACAGTAACTGTAGTCAATTAACCACGTATTTTGTAACTTAAATTTTATGTTTATTATTGTCGAAAAACGTAATTCTATGTACGTCCTCATTTACGGGACAATAGTAACTGTTTTGTTAGATAATCTGTATTTGTCAATTGTCAACGATTGAAGCGTCCTCAGCGTTACGAAAATTTGTCAGTATTCGCATCTGATTCATGGGTTTTTTCTTCTATTGATGGAAGTCAGCAGTTCCGGATTGGATGAGTTAATGAATTGTTTCGTTGAGTGAAACGTAATCGCAGGAATGGGACTTTATTCAATTCTTTTTGATACGTGCTTCTGTGCCACAATCGTGCAATCGATTCGGAGGGAGATGACGGCAAGGAAAGGACCGTTTGAAACAATTTGTCCGAGCACGGAACTAACTCTAATTGAATGGCTAACCGATTTCGATAATATAACAATTTACTTACCATTTACGGTTTTATTAAAACGTTTAATTAAAAGATGAAACTAACAAGCGCAACTACTTTCGAAACCCAAGATGTTTTTTTTTTAATCTGGATCATCAACTAAAAATTACCCATTTTGACGTACACGAGTTGTATACGTGTAACAAATGAAAAAAATGAGTGGACCTAAATGTCCGCATGCAAGTGTATAGTTGGTTGCATACATTCTAATGAAATACTATAACAATTAAATGTTTATTTGACGTGTACATTGACAAACATATATTTAAGTATACATTATAAAATTATTTAAAAATAAACTGGAAGAATGTTATGTTATTATAAGAAATATTTCCGAATATTGGTTAGGAAATTTTCACTTTCCTTTTTGATAGTAGAAGGTTTACCAAGTTTAATTACATTGTTTTTACTTGGGAGTGTAGAAAACCAGAGCTTTGTCTTTCATTATTCGTATTGGGAATGCTGCCACTTTAAACTGTGAAATTGACATTTGTTAATCAAAATGAAATCTGTCCCTCCTTCGGACTTTATTATTATGCAAAGAGCTTGGCTTAGAAGCTTTCATGCGACATACGTAAAATTATTCTCACTATCGGTATAGTAATCTCTTTTAAACATTTAAACTGTAGAGACGGATTGACACAGTACATGTGATGTTGCAAAACACGGAACCATATTAGTTGATGTACAGGGTTTGTCCAAAAAGTAAAAGGAAGGTACATCTGGGCTGTAGGGCTAAGGAAGCGTTGGGATGCCTGCCGGGGTCAAGTAGCTGGTCGCACAAAATAAGGTGTGAGCTAGGGTGTTGTCATGGTGCAACCTCCAGTCTTTTTGGACTCGATTGGCTCTTCTTTTGAGTCTCTTCAGCACCTCCACATAAAATTTGACGTTGACTGTTTGTCCAGGAGCGACAAATTCATGGTAGACGACGTCTTTCATATCAAAAAAGACAAAGAGCGTCGTTTATACTTCAGATTTGCTCATTCTTGCCTCTTGGTCTCAGGATTGTTTTGAAATACCCAAGACTCGTTACCTGTGATTACGTTGTCCAAAAGGTGGGGGTTACTTTCACATGTTTCCAAATTACCTTAGTGCAACTTCTGCTCGTCCGTGAGCAGTTTCAAGACTAACCATGTAAAGAGGCCTCGTGCCAAAGAAACACACCACGTCTTGGTAAAGTATCCTCTAGGTAAGCCTGCTTGATCATTGTAAACGTCTAGGTCGCAGACTTCCCGAGTTTCACACAGAATTTAATCTCTGACCTCTGTTCTGGCGAACGCTGCATTCTCGGCTTGCACCGATCACAAAAACACGGCACGCGCTAAAGCCTATCCTCACTCTCGGGATGATCGGAAACAACTGAGCGACGACTTGATTCTTAGCTGAATATCCCCTCTACCGAATTCAGTCGGCGCACGCGCGCTCCGAAGTACAATCGCGGCAGAAAAAATCAGTTCTACAACTTTTTGGATAAACCCCTTATTTTGGGTGGCGCTACCAATGGGATGCTCTAGGCATTCGTTTGTGGATTCTCTGAGGAATACGAAGCCTTGCCGGTTTGGGTTACATCTGGGTTCATTTCTGTAGAATGGTGATTAGTCTCTGAAAATACATTGAGTTGTTCTCAGCAAAACTAAACGTTAGGTACACTTGGTTTTAATGAAATAAAAACAAGAATGAAAATGTGTTGTTGATAAATCATCTGCCTGACTAACACAATAACAGTGGTTTTGACTAAATGTTATTTATTTTCGAATGTAGCAGATAAGTGATTTTCTGTTTTCTTTTTTTTTCAGTGGATTTGACAGTAGCTGGCGCGACTGTGTCAATGTCAGTATCGTCTCCAAGTTTTAGCGGTCCAATTCAGAACGTGACCGTTCCCGTGGGACGAGAAGCAATCTTGAATTGCACTGTCACAGATTTAGGAGAATATAAGGTAAACGACACAAATAGAAATTCCTTATGTCTGACGCGCGTGAACACACCCACACATACAGTCAGACCTGAATACAAAGAAAACAATATTTGTCCTGTCAGGTGTCATCCTGCCATACTGTGATTGACGGATTACCAAGAAAAAGTTCCGCACAAGTACTCACGCGTTAAATTGCTCCACAACAAAGATGGCGTTTTCAAATTTTGCCGTGTCTGTTTGGTACCCGTAGGAAATATTTCCATTCAATTTCCATTAAAAAAATGCCATTTAATTACCACTGATAATAATTAATGGTAATAAATGGAGAATTACCAATGTGATTCCCATTCCCGAACTCAATGGGAATTCCGTTGCTGAACGCAATGTCATTACCATTACTGAACGCAATGGAAATTCCATTGATGAACTCAATGGAAATTCCATTGATGAACTCAATGGAAATTCCATTGCATTCCATTGGAACTTCATCGGCATGCTTTTTTCCATAATCCATATTATTTTGTTGAGAATTTGGTTCTTCAGGTACCTGAACCAAGGCACATGCCTGGATGTCTGGCTCTTCATCAGTGTTTAGATTTCTTTCACTTGCATCTGATAAAACTACATCAGTCTCACAGATGACTTCGGCCTCCTCTATATTCTGGCATGGTTCAAAATCATCAAACAATGCTTCTAATGCAGGCGTTTTCACTTGTCTAGGGGTTGTTTAATAAAAGGCTCCGGATAGTTGAATACATATATAATAAACATAATAATGAATTTAAACAGCAAACAGCAAAACGAGTAACAAACAGGATCTAAATATATACAACTTATATACAATATTCAATGTATCGCGTCTTCTAAAATACATACATCTTCCGTCCTTTTTGAGCAAAAATGCTCAACGTCTAAATTAAATATACCGTTTTAATCAAATGTCTTACTACCGTGCTTGTCTCTCACTCTACTGCCGTGGTAGTCCCTCACGTACCCCCAACATGCACGCATAGGTAAAACTAGATTATCGATTTTCCACCACCTAATTGGCAATCACTACTCTTGCACCTGGGTAAGCAAAAACTGTATCAAAAAAGGCTAATAGTATGTGGCCATTAATGGTTATAATAAACGAATTACCTTAAACTATTCGTAAGAATAATATAATAAGTGGATGGATATATTTTTAAGACCATTTAATAATATTCAATTTAAATGTGTACGCACGCAAATATCTTATTCAGAATTAAATAACATACAAACATTAATCACACCTATTGTTAATCGTTTCGAACGAGACTGATGAAACTAAAATCCATGTAACGAAACAGATTTTATAAATAAATAATTCAAAAACCAAAAAATATTTCATTTCTTAATTAATTATTTCATTGGAATTCTTTGGGAAATAAAACTTTTCCATTCATATCTAACGATAAGAATATTAATGGAATTATTCAAAATGGAAACAATTGATTTTCTATTTATCTATCTATTTATTTATGAATAGTTTTATATAGAATTTATAAATTTTGCATTGGTTCCCATTGAAAATCAATGGAAATTTTACCTATATAAATATTAACGGAATTATATTGTAAAGGAAAACAATTATTTTTCCATTTATGCCAAATGGTTTTGAATGGAATTTACAAATTTTCCATTGATTCCCATTGAAGTTCAATGGATTTTTTTTCTACGGGTACGCATGTTATGTAATGAATGAATTCTTGTGGAGAGGTCGTAGAGTTTTCAATTCGTTTATTTTTTTGACGCCCTGAAAGTAAAACTATTGCATGTAATAAAAATAGCGCGCGCATATTGCGAGGAAAGTTGAGTCCGTAATTCTCAACTACAATGGAAAACATTCTTCACTAAATATGAGCAGAAAATAGATCCCTTCTCAGAGTGTCCATTTAACTCCTGACATAACCCCTTATTGCACTCCTGTCTAATTTTACTTTATGTGGTTTAGACGTTTTAACGTGAAACAGTGACAACCATCCAAGCAAACAAGGAAGAGGTGTCACTGCAATGGATAGTTTTCGGAGATTCTTGCAGAAATCAGTAGAAGAGGTCTTTCAATGTATCGTTTTCCGATTCCATGACTAGTCTCTCAATCAGAGGGCGTCAAAATTGACCACTATTGATTTGGATGTTCCATTATGGTCTGTTCTATAAGATTGTAACACCATCATCATAAGGTCGTCAGTCCCAAGACTGGTTGGACACGCACTTCCATTCCTTTCTAACTTGAGCTAATTTTCGCATTTCCCTAAAACCAGAACATATCATATATTTTAAACTGTTTGCGTACAGTAATTCAATCTTGTCTCTGACTAGACCTTCATGCCTGAGAAGGTGTCCTACCAACCTATCTCGCCTATTTCTTTTATTAGTTTCCATAGAGTTCTCTGTTCGCTTATTCCTTCTAATACCTCTTCATTTCAAACCTTCTCTATCCTCATCATTCGCCTGTAACACCATATTTCGAACACTTCTAACCTTTTCTTTTCCGCTGCGCCCACCGTCCACGTTTTGCACCCATATAGCGCCCAGCTCCAAATATACACCTTTAACAACTTTTTTCGAATTTCTAAATTACGAAATGACTTCTTTTTGCTGAAGGCGACTCAACCCTGCGCTATCCTCTGCTTTATATTCCTACTACTCCTTCCGTCCTGACTTATCTGACTCCCTATAGATACCTAAAATCAGCCACTTTTTCTAATCTTTCGTCTCCTATATTTATGTTCGCTCTTTCTCTACTTTTTATTCCCTTGCATCATACAATTCAATTTTTTTATTGTATTTAAAGCTATCTCTAATTCCTCCTTGCTTGATACTAATACTGCTATATCATCTACAAATCTAAGCATACTAATTTTTTTCCCCTGTAAATCTATTCCTACAGTTCTACTGTCTTTAATGATTTTGATCGCGTCTTGGACGTATAGATTAAAAGATTATAATATGCTTAATAAAAATACGATGCGGTTCATGTCCATGATTTACCTAATTTCTGGAATTCGCTACAAATGATAGGGAATTGGACCAGAGCAGTAGTCATAGTAAACAATTAAAATTTTCTTGAACGTTTTTCCACTTTTTCATAGCTTATTCAACAACCTATTACAACTCTTCCTCTTGTTGTAACATTTTTAAATCCTGGTTATGGTTAGTCAATAAATGTAGCCTTTAGACAAGATAGCTGAGTTATTGCTCAAGAGAACACACACAGTATTTTAACCGAAACGATAAAATAATTCATCGTATTCAAATGAAAATAAAACGTAAGCCCCTTTTTTGATTTAAACTCTATTAAAAACTTAAAATGGAATTTATTCTAAACAATATTTTACGACATCAATCAGTTTTCACCTCAAGTGGTACTTAGTATGGTAGTATTATTTGAGTACGCAATCTTTGGAACTATGTATGGACAAAAAGTAACATTTTTTTTGCTTATTTGTGTGAATTCTTGTAGATCTTTTGGCATACCTATTTCGTCAATAATACCGCCAGTGCTTTCCACAACAACCCCTTCAAGACGGTCTTTGATCCATGAAGCATTCATAATTTTCATAACATTCTTTATATTTTTCAAAGAAAAATATTCTGCTTGTCAACCTACTCAAAAATCAGTCCGGCGTTATCTGATTGGATTTTCTATTGCAGAAAAAATATTAGAGATAGGATTATTTTTTGGCTGAAGTTGCCTTACCTACTAGGTTAAAATGTTGTTGATGTATAGTAATTTTGTTAATTGAGATATTTTTGGGTCTTTAGAATCCATACAGCATACTGTAGTCCTTATAGTTAATTATGTACAGCAATTATTTTTGCTTACGTATTCAAAAATGCAGATTGTAGTCGGGATAAGGAGGGCGCATATTTAACTTCTCTAAACCTACTAAGAAATCTTTAAGAAAGTCATTGTGAAGAGGGCAGTGCCACAAAACGTGATGAATATTCTCATTTGGATGACTGCATTAACAACTAGGGCTGTTAATTACATGAATACCGCGCAGCGAAGTTGCCCAATTATAATAATAATAATTGGTACTAATTCTGTAAATTGTAGTGATTAAGCTTCACGATCAGGGGTGGGCATTCCAAATAATCTTACGGGCCATTTTGGAAGGAAATCATAATAAAAAGTTATGGGGGATAGATGGGGGTGGGGATCGAAAGAGGGTGGTCACCTGACTAAAACCCCATAAAAAATTTGCGGCGGTCTCACCCAAATAAAAGTTATGGGGGTTGAAAGTTGATTATTTTGACAATTTTCATACACTATAATTGAAATAAAATTCAATAAAAAAATTATCTTCAAGCGGGTGGAGGTGGGGGATCGAAAGAGGATGGTCACTTGAACAAAACCTAACCTAACCTATTGATAAAGATATTTAAATGATGTTTTATATAACTTCCTCAATATTTTTATGTATTTTTCATTAGTTTTACTTTTGAATATTGTTTAAGAATGACTATATAATTAGTTACATGCCTAGAAATGTACAAAAATTGGCATATTTATTAACTTTGAACCCCCATAACTTTTTATGGGAGTGACCGCCACGAACTTTTTATGGTACAGTGGTGGGGGAGACCTCCTCTTTCGACCGCCCACCACCACCACCCCTTCGGGGGTGGGGGCCATCATCTAGACATTTATCGAATATTGTTTTAAAATAAAAGTTAATTTTCTTTTATAGTTTCAAACGGTTAATTTTTGAATATATGGTTGCATAAATAAGTAATGTAATGTATTTTTTTAATATATTGGTTTCCACTATTTTGATCATCGTAATCATTGTCATCATCATAGGCTATCCAGTCCTAAGAGTAGTTAGACATGCACCTCCACTCTTTCCTATCCTGAACTGATTTTCTCATTTCCGTGAAACTAGATAATCCCGTATCCTTAAATATTTATGAATAGTAATCTAATCTAATCTCAGTCTTCCTCTATCCCTCTTGTTTTTGCTCCTAATATGTCATGCATAAGAAGGTGTCCT